TCGACAAAGTGATTTTACTGAAGCTAAATACTTGTGATCACAAAATGTATTAGTTTGTTTTTTAGTTTAGCAAAGCTTGCGTAGTTGGTGATCTGATTCCGTTTTGTGCGCCGTTAGGCATGAAACATGAGATTTATATCTCGTGATTATTCAGTTAATTATAGTATATCAAACATCATTTGATTATAAAGCAATAGGCAGTCAGTAGAAATGATTCTTATCGAAAGTTATGAATAGTAGATTGTAAAACATGAATGAAAATATATTTTAAAGTGTCTGTTCACAAGATTTTCTTCTACGATATGCATCCCATGAAATTATAATTGCTTGCTAACAACTCAAATATTTAATACTCTAAAAAAGTTCTCTTTAAGAGAGAGGGATTATATCTATAGAAGGCCATAAACACAGGGAATATTTATGAAGGCAGTGTAGTACAAGATGGAAATATATTAGTAAGAGCATGTAATTTGTGGTTGTTTTTAGTCGAACTGCCATTAATCGATGAAAAAAACAGCAGTTTCTTATACAGTAATTTAGGTGAACTACAAAGATTATTTCCATGTTATGTATTCGTTTACATTCTTCATTTTCAAACAATAAAAAAACAACAGTTTATAGCTTATTCTGTTTCGAAAATTTGAATGCTTTGTTTATCTTTTCACAATACTTTTATTAAGGGTACTAAATTTTTAAATTACCTGATTTCCGCTTAGTTTCTGAACTAACAAGACTTTACATATTTTTAATCTGACAAAATCGAATAGTTATTTATTAAAATTTCAACTTTGTATATTAATGTTATCATGATAATGTGTTCCTGCTGTGAAAACTTAACATGTGAATAAAATGCTCGTTGGATGAAAGTTAAAAAAGTTTTAAGTTATAGCATATCGTTTGTAAATTTCATCATGAAATCATTGCTACAGTTAGACAAACTCACAAATCATAACTGTAAATATTCAAATAGCTAAGCAAAATTAATCAAATAGGTCTTTAAAACATGACTAATTTCAATAGTTGAAATCATGAGTCAATAGAAGCTAGATTGCCATGGAAAAACTGGAAGCACTGGACGGCCGTTTTATCCTAGTATGGGACTCCGCAGCAGTAGGTACCTACGATCCTCCTCGCAAGATTCGAACCCAGGACCTATCAGTCCCGCGCTCGAGCGCTTAAACATTAGACTACTGAGCCGGACACCATCTAGGGATGTCAAAGTCTAACTCCAACTAACCCACGAAATTGCGCCACCGTACACCATTGTCTTCAGTGGGCTGATATCTCACGACAGACCCGGCTGAACTCCACTGGTCACGGCTCTTCACTAGAACTCCAGGATATGCCTCACGAAGGCAGTTACTAGTGAGCAAATGATTATTATCAGAAGGGGTTTTGTGAAGATTGGTTGAAGTTAAACATTAACACCGTTGGATGCCGGCCAGCCCAGTAGTCTAGCGGTTAAGCGCTTGCACGCGGGACTAATAGGTCCTGGGTTCAAATCTCGCAAGGCGAGATCGTGGATGCTCACTGCTGAGGAGTCCCACAATAGAACGAGACGGCTGTCCAGTGCTTCCAGGTTTTCTGTGGTGGTCTAGCTTTAATTGGCTCATGTTTTCAACTATTGAAATCACTAAAATCTCCACAAAACCCCTTCTGACACATAACTCTCTTGATTTCATGATAAAGAGATTTGTTTTATAAACGCTCTAGTTAATTGTTAAGTCTATATAAAGAGTCATCTATTTTTTCATCACTGAATGATTCCCCCTGATCGAAGGATTATTAAATAGTCTATAAAATGATTTTTATAATTTCTGATGTACCGGCCTAATGTTATTCTGTTACTTTAAAGAGTGTTACAGAAAGCTTTTGTTTTCAAATAAATCAATCAAATTAAGGTTTGAAGAAGGAAATTTATTCTGTTCCAGCTACAAACAGTTGTGAATCATAAGTATTATTAAATACATCGTGTGACATAAGAAAGGTAATTTATCCTTTCAAAAATTTCACAGCCTGATAAGAGACATAAACAGAAGATGTGTAATGAAGAAAGATGAACAGTGAAAGTAATAATAATTATAATGTGGTAAAACAATAAAAATATTATGATAACTATAGGATCGTCAATGAATGACGCTATGTAGTATAACCAACGTCTACTTACTATACCAATAATACATGAGATTAGTAGCTAGAGCATTGATGACTATAATTTGTTATAGTGAATTATATTATATATTACTTTGGAAAGATTGAAAACTTTAGTTTCATTTTAATGTTATCACTGAATAATTAACCTTTTACTCAATTAAAATAAGTTTTAACGAATTTTATTTATCGTTTATATTGTGTATCTTCATTCACAGATACAAAAATATATAAAAAATGTTACTGAATAGGACAAATGGAATATGTTGAATTTTAAAATTTTTCAGTTTTATTAGTGTAAATCCATATTTGCTCATAGTAAATAGGAACTTTCGTCTAAATTTGATCAAATAGTTTCACAGTTTTTGGCTGCCGAGTTAGTGTGAGACACTAAAGAGGAAGAATGTATTTATAAAATCTCAGCTGAAGAATTTGCTGATAATTTGCGATAATTTTTGTTTCTTCGTTTTTAACATTCATCAGTTTATTTTCAGCTGACAGATGCATTTTAAGTAATGACCGGAGTCAGACAAGACTGTCTACTCTCTCCCTTACTCTTTCTTCTGGTGATTAACTAGATTATGAATACCTCGACATCTGAGGGAAAACACGGCATACAATGAACATCTCAGAACCAATTAGACGATTTAGACTTCGCAGATGACCTAGCCCTCCTATCAAGTACACACGAACAGATGCAGATGAAGACAGCCAGTGTAGCAGCAGTCTCTGCATCAGTAGGTCTCAACATACACGAGGAGAAAATCAAGGTCCTCAAATACAACACGGAGAACAGCAATTCAGTCACATTTGATGGAGAAACTACGGATGATGTAGAATCCTTCACATACCTGGGTAGCATCATCGATGAACAAAGAGGTTCAGATGTAGACGTAAAGGCAAGGATTGGCAAAGCAAGGGGCGCATTCCTACAGTTGAAAAACATATGGAACTCAAAACAACTGTCAGCCAATATCAAAGTGAGAATCTTCAACAGCAGTGTCAAGGCAGTTCTTTGAGAACTTGGAGAACTACAACAATTATCATCAAGAAGGTACAAGTATATATAAATAGCTATCTACGCAAGATACTCAACATAGATTGACCGGATACCATCAGCAATAGCCTTCTCTGGGAGAGAACAAACCTGCTTCCAGCTGAAGAAATTAGGAAAAGACTATGGAAATGGATAGGACACACATTACGCAAATCATCAAACTGCATCACGAGGCAAGCTCTAACTTGAAATCCTGAAGGAAAGCAGAAAAGAGGAAGGCCAAAGAACATATAATGTTGGGAAATAGAAGCAGATATGAAAAGGATGAATTGGATTTGGAAGGCGCTGGAAAGGATTTGCCAGGACAAGGTTGGATGGAGAGTGGCGGTGAGCAGCCTATGCTCCTTCACGAGAAGTAACAGGTGTAAATAGGTAAGTCAGTAAGTTGATTTTCAGTTTTATTAAGGTTATAAGGTTATTTTAATTGAATTGTACTTAACAATCATTGTTATACACTAAGATAACTGTTAGTATCATTAATCTAAAAAATATAGCCAAATACACTTTGAACTCTCTAAAGCATTGAAACATTTAGATTAGTTTATTCAGATTATTGATAAAATTGAACACTTAAACTATCTATAAATAAAAATAATATATTTGTAATATCCCAATGAGTAGAAAATTGGATTTTCTGACGTTTCGTGACTTAGTGTAAGTCACTTCTTCAGGTTGATCAAATATTATTCTTGCATTGTTCCGTTGTACTATTTAAACTTGGATTAATTTTAATTTGGTTATTTATTCTCTGAAGAAGTGACTTACACTAAGTCACGAAACGTCAGAAAATCCAATTTTCTACTCATTGGGATATTACAAATATATTATTTTTATTTATAACAATGAACCCAATGCTCAATTTATTCGAAATTATCAAATCAAACCTTGGTAATGACACCTACTTAAACTATCTATTTAACAAACATTTCTATCTTTTAAAACTTTGCTCCATCTGTATTTAGTCATACATCGACATTGTGTATGATGAGTTTTGACAATGGAGTAATGTAAAATTATCATTAATTATCTATCAAATAAAGAATTAATTGATGTTGATGTTTATTGGTAAAATTACATTCACTTATCATATATTAGCTACTGGTGGGCGGCCTTTGCTCTTCCACGAGGAGTAAAAGGTGTAAGTAAGTAATCATATATTCAGTGTACAATTTTCAAGAAAGATGGTAATCAAGAGTATTATGGCGGATTGTTCGGTATGGTACTTAAAAAAACACATTTAAACTTGAAATAATCATTCTATATATATTTCATACTGTTATATGTGTTAGCAATAAGTTAACAAGGTGAGACTACATTTTATGTACGGACCAATCAGGTATAAGATAACAGGTCTCGGAGTTTGGTGCGAAATTCACTCATCCATTTGGCTAAATAGAGTTTTTATATCATAGCTGATGTCATTTCGTGATGTAAACCCTAAATGTAATTCCTAACCTTAACCATCAACTGTAAATTATAATTCTATTTCCTTACACTGGTTTATAACCCTCTTTTGGTCGAAGTTATTCGGTGGACACTTTGAAGGTTCTTTTAGCGTCACTCAAAGGTCGTCCATGAATTATTGTCTCGCCGTTAAGAAAATAATTTCTACAATGTTCTCTGTTTTTCTAATAAAAAAAACAAGATTGTCAAGGTGTAAAAATCTCATATACATGTATAAATTGAGGTCACAAATAGAAGAAAATTGCTGAAGACCTATATATATATATATAATGAATTTGCTTTTAACTCATAATAAATTATAATTCATTAAAAATGTCATCCAACTAACCTGTCACAAGAATATGAAGTATTTCTTTACCTAATGAATTAGTTACGAATTTCACTGATGCTTCTACTACTTTACGTATAATTCGATATTGTCCTATTGATTTTCCCTCCGTAATTGTATGTAAGTTGAAGTTGGTTGGGAAGTTTTTATTATTACAAAATACTGATCGTAATACTGAATGATTACCTATAAAAAGAGAAATAATTAATTATGATACTATTCAGATTATATATTTTACATTGTTATTTATTGTAAAAGATGTATAATATGAACTATTTCAAATTAGGTTGTTATATTTGAATTGTGAGTTAGATTTTATGAGAGATTTGATTCAACTGACTAGATAGCACCACTCCATAACTGATGGTTCTTTGTTTCTGAGACACCAACATAGTTTTCAGCAACAATTTTTTATATCTTACGGTTAGCACTGTATAATAGAGTTAGGTTGGAATGTCACGAAACTGTTCTCCTAACTTTGGCAGTTTAATTATCCGATAATATGGTTTCATTGTTCTGCAGCTGATTAATCTTAATAGATAAATGTTCCTATATATTGTCAAAACAAACAAATCTTTAACAACCTTGATGAACTTTCTTAGTCTTAAATAAATGAAGTAGTTAGGAGAATAAAGTGTTTGCTTTAATCCTAAGTAGTCCGAACACTAAATTAATGTATATTTCTTTGACCAGCCAGTGCATACAAATGACGGATTTGTGATATTATTGGTTGAGTAAACTTTGTTTCATAAACGAATCTCAGCACCATTCAACAGCTCTAGGTAAATATTGGATCCACCTGCTGAAGTAACAAATGAAACAGTTCAAGAGAGTATTATTCCATAACAATTCACATCTGAATGAAAGATTCGTAACAAAATCTCATAAGTTTTGTTATGCATCAATAATTTGTATCATTCTGAAGGGAATTTTATGTGTAACGTAAACAAAAATACTGTCATCTATTTTATGTACAGTAGCTGGTTCAAACTATTTGTAAGTTGTCAACCTTTACTCACATAATTCAACTACACCTGCTTTTATCAGGTCATTTGTATATTTAGGAGTGACTAATATGATATATGCTCTATTAGATCTTGAAGTTTGTTGGTTAATTTGAAAATAATTTTAATAGACAGGACTAACTAGGAGTGCATTGTTGCGTGTATTTAGATTAAAAAATTATCTTTCTTTTCTAACTGGTCCTTGTGATTTGACTAGTAAAACTATTTACCAATATATTGTTATGTCCCAATAAGCATAATGAATGGTAACTTTTGGGATCCATTTATGGATTAATACTATGGGTACATTTCTATCGCATAATTATTCAATATTTAAACTGTTCATATTCATGACCATCTTATTATAAGCTTTATTTTGACATATGAATTATTATTATACGATTTACCATTCTTGAATTATGCCCTGTCTATTAATCACTACCTCCCACATTCACAGCCACATTTCGATAATACTTGTACAAATGTTGTTTCATATTTTATTGATACGATGTGGTCTTTCTGGTTGGTATATTTGGTATGTTTGAAATAAATGATTCATATCGCAGAGGCTTAGATTGGTGTTCTGAACTCAACTGGCTGGGCTAGGCGGAAAGCATGACCAATAAGGCCTCTGGACTGCTCGCACGGGTTTTATACGTCATTGATCCGATCGATAATTCACTGCTCTGTTATTGGCAGTATCATTACATCATACATTAGTAGGGTAAATTGATTTTGGGAAAAACATTGTTTCCATAAGTAACTTTTAATCAAATCAAACATTAAAAGTAAATCATTTATTTTTAAATGTTAAACGCATTAATTTTGCTAGTTTCAAATGATCTGTTTTTAAAAATCTATTTGCTATAAAGACAAGACATGAAGAAAAACTCATTATACAAAATAAGATACTTTTACACTTTGTAGTTGGTTAATATAGATGCATACATATACATATGTAGTTCATAAAGAGTATGTATTATTAACAAAATCATTGCGACTAACAGGTATGGTTATTAATAATCCACTAACCTTGCCAGTTATTTTTACTGACGGCAGATTAAACCTTTTATAGAAAGTGATGAATGTTTTATTAATATGTATTCAGTTCATAGTTTAATAAGGTTGTGGATTATTTTATAAACGATATGTAGTTGAAAATGTTTGTACATTGAATTAACATCCACTTAGATAAACTCTTATTTACTTAAAAAAAAGACTAGTCATTGCTTATACGATGATTTAACGTAATTTGATAAAGCGGAATTATTACTAATCGGTATGTGGAATATTCGTTTACGACTTATAAATAAGACAATACCTGAAATCTTAAGCATGTTATCGTAGATTCATGAGCTGAAGTTTAACATTAACAAATAAATTCTACTCAGAAAGTATATATCAGTGCTTCTTCAAACAATTGTAAATCAGGTAGATGATTTCAGGGACACTCAATTTCAAGTCAGCTTTAACCATAAAGTGACATTTCATGAATCACTTCTAGGATGAGAAAGACGACAATTGCCTATTTCCAAAGGTTGAGTGTACAACTTTGAAATTTCCCTTTAAGGGCAGTTGATAAAATAAGCACATTAGTTATTAAAAACGAAAACTAGTCCGTCGATCAGGATGAAAATCATAGAAATGTATGTCTATGAATTGTCCTATATTTAATATATTAATTTTATGTAATAATAATCTCCTAACTTGAATTTGGATCCAGTTTTTTTAATAAAATCATCCAGGAAAGTTTTAAGAACCAGTTGTAAGAGTTTTTCGATGAAAATGGATATTTAAGCTATACTCAATATTCACAAGATTACCTAACTTCTTAATAAACAATAATTTTTTTAAATAAAACTACTTGTGAAAATTATTTTCCGTAGTTTTAATGGAACTTTATTATTTGTAAAGTCAATCAATGTCACTAAATAAGAATAACTACTTTTAACAAACTGATTCATATTAAAATTATAGATTACTAGATTAGATCATAAATGTTTGAATTGAATCCATCATCCGTAATGAGAAATCTTAAAATAAGACAAATCATCCATCTATTCGTAATATGAACTTTAGTTCATCAGCTGAAAAGAATTTGTATCAAAAACTTTGAGTACAGCAAACTTTTCTCAGTTAATTTGATCGATTTGTTTTAAAAGACTATTATTATAATTATTTTAGATACTTGCACGATATAGCAGTTTTAAGGGACACTTTAGTTTTATCATTGAATATATTGCAGAATTATAACATTAATTAATGGTTAATAAATAATGAATTTATCTTGTTGTTGTTTCTAATAAATATCGATCTATAGCTCTAAGAAAAAGATGTATTCATAAAGGATAATTGTTTAAGATGAATTACTTCGATCTTAAAAGTAAGAGTTAGTCTCTTTTTGTTGTTGTCAAGAAAATTAAATTAAATTGGACTATATGATTAATACAAACTACATTTAAATTGTATTCCGTTCAAACAACTGCTATTATATATATATAGTGTAGCAAGTGATTACCTCAAGCTTGGTTTATATTTTGTTCCCTATAAAATTAAAATAAAATGAAATGTATGGTCAATACAATAAACTAACGTTTTGTCCCCTCTTCTATCTATTAAGGTTATCAAATTTATAATTGATTTAGATGTGTATAATCTATAAGTTACTACAATAGGCCTATATAAAATTTTATAGAGACATTCGTCGTTTCTGATCGTTTTTATTCGATTCTGAAAAAAAATTTGCTGGTTTTTATAAAACACTAAGTACCATATGGACAGATTTATTGATAATCGAGAATCATAATCAATTTTGGGATGGGAAATTCAAAATCGTTCTTTTTTACACGTTCTTTTCTTAAATCTTTTATTTGAAAGGTTAATAATGATATTTGTGTATTATTTCACATATGTCATAATATCCCATCGATTATGTAATTAATTTTGTAAAACCTATTTACAGATGTATTACTTTTGCAATGAAAACAATTACCACAAACTCCTTTTGATAATAATCATCTGCTAACTAGTGACTGACTTCAAGAGATACTCCTAGAGTTCTAGTGAGAAGTCGTTACCAGTGGAGTTCAACCAGGTCTGTTGTGAGATATCAGCTCACTGAAGACAATGGTGTACAGCGACTTAATTTCGTGGATTGGTTGAAGTTAGACACTAACACTATTTGATGCTGGCTCAGTGGTCTAGTTGGTTAGGCGCCTGGAGCAAAACAAATTTAATATATTTGGATAATTTATATCACTTTAAAATTTATGTCATTCAATATAGGAGTTCAATAACTTTCTATTTAATTATTTCAGATACTACCTACTACTTTTAATGTGATGGGATTGTATTATTTTAAGAGTAGGAATCAATTTTATTATTCTATGATTCGAAATAATTCAATCATACAGAGTAAAAATCTACTTCCTAATTATATTTACTTTTATGCTAACTTGATCCTGAAATCATAAAACATGATCTGTTTTGTTGAATGATTTCATTGACTACCGAATTATTTAAGTAATATCTAGAATTTGATCAATAGACTACTATTTTATATAATCGAAATGGACTAAATATATGAATCTAGTGTTTATTTTATTATATTAATCAAAATGTTGAAGAAATATCCAATTTGTATTAGAGTAAACGATATACCTTTGGGAATAATTTTATATTCAAAGGATATAGTATAAACTTCTATAAATAGTTGTTTTCAATCAGATTGAAAAAGAAAAAGCATTTTCGTTTAATCCAGTACAATGAAAATTAGAGAAGAAAGCTGAATTTAATGTGACTCATTGATAAGACAAATGGTTAATACAAAACATAAATCAGTGGGTAATAAATAGGCAGCACTAGAGATCATTAAAAATGTACAAACTTAAACATTTCTAGGCGGCTAGTTCTAACCTTAAGGAAAAGACTGTCCATAGAATATTTTTATATATCAAAATGAACTATTACAACCTTTTACCACCAAAACTTTTGACAATTGAGAATAGTTGAAGGTATATTTGTATCAGAAGGCTTTTGTGGATATTATAGTAATTTCAATGGTTGAGATCATGAGTCAGTAGACCAACATGGAAAACCTAGGAGCACTCGATGGCCGTTTCTTCCTAGTGTGGGTCTCCTCAGCAGTGCGCATCCACGATCCCGACCCCGCGATTGAATCGG